CATTTTCATTCTTTTGGCAGCTGTAGAATATTCCGTACTCTTCTCCAACTCCACAACATAAAGATGTCAATTCTTTTGTCATCCGTATTCATTGTCCAATTCTCAGATGCGTACCAAGTGATTGAAATACCATGACTTGAGTCAAGCTCACCTTAGTCTTAAACCTGACAATATTGCTTTTCAATACTTTGGAGAGTTCCCTAATAGTGGACTTGCCCAGAGAAATATGACTCCTGATCTCATGACTTCTGATACCAAGGGTGTTGGTTGTAGATCTCAGTAAGATCAAATAATTGACAGTTTGAATCTTTTCTCCATCTATCACGACACTCTCTATTGGCCCAGTCAGAAGGACTTTTATTTTCTTGATGCTGAGATATGATCCACATTGAAAACTATAGTCTTTGATCTTCTGCAGCAAGTGCTTCAGGTCCTCCTCACTTTCAGCAAGTTGTGCATCAACATAACACAGGTTTTGATGTGTCTTCTGCCAAGCCTGATGCTGTATTCTTCTTAATAGAGTCCAGCTTCACGAATTATTTGCTTGGTGTAGCAGAAAGAATACAACCTTGACTCACCTTTCTGATTTCAAAACATACAATGTTCCTTTGATTTGATATGAGCACAGTTAAGTGTTCAGGGATTCCCACTCGTGATCCACACAGTCAAATGTCTTTGCTTTGTCACTCTATTTGGTTGACCCTCAAACATGCTTCAGAGGCTGCTAATCACAGGGGCGGGTGTAGCCTGTGTTTCTCCCTCAGAGTTGCTGCTGAATTTGAACTGTCAAAGGGGTGTGAATTACTAATGCAGTTCGCTATGGAGTGGAGTAGAGAATTCACCTCTACTCATTGCTGTTGAGTCACCAGTGGACTTTCAGAGACTGTAAATCACGTAGGAGGAGAATGCCTATTCATTCCTCTCTTGAGCAGGCGAAGGTGGATTCAAACCACCAGAGAGAGGTGCCATTTGCGTAAACAGCCGATCTCTCTGCAGACTATGAGAGAAATTTCAGTGAAAAAGTAACATAACTAAGTCATTCTCAAACTATAGCACTGGTGGCCAAGTGGCAAAAAGCTGTGTTGCAATCTCGAAAGCACACGGTTCGAATCCACCAGCTGTTCTGCGGGAAAAGGATAGGCAATCTTCCCACTGTGTGATTAACTGTCTCTGAAAACCCGCCAGAGGGTCAGCTATGGGCCAGTTCCGACTCAACCATACATAACAACAACAACAACAATATAACAGTTGTTGTTAAGTGTCGTTGAGTTGTAGACAACCCATAGCAACCCTATGAGTGAAAGATCTAAACACTTAAAATAACGTTCACAGTTTCTCCACGTTCATAGAGTTTCCAGAGGCAAGCTATTTCGGAAGTTGATGCCACTCTGGCTTCTAAGCTTGTTTTAATTGGGGAGCTCCACCAAACGCTGTCCACCATGGGTAACCATTATCGCCACAGAAACCACCACCACTCACAAAAGAAGACTTGAAAGGTACACATGGACCATGGAGGTCCACTGAGAAAGATACAACTCTAAAGCTTTGGAGGAAACAATCCAGAGTTCAGCACAGGACACTGGGGAGGGGGCCTTGTGGGGAGATGCTGGTCAACTCGAGGACTGTGTTCACTGACACATCAGTGTCACTGTGTTCAGCATCACAGCAAGTACAAGTTACCTTTGTAGAGCAAAGGGATAGACCAGTGCTGCACCACTTAGAAGAATGTTCGACCAAAACCAATTAAAACCAGGCCTATATCTAAAGAAATAATTAATGCAGCTTCAGTTTTATTGGAGCAAAATATATTAGGGACCTCTGGTGCCCCTCCAGCAGTAAGTAGTTGCACTGCAAACCCAGAGGCACAAGGTTCAAATACACCAGCTGCTCTGCAGGAGAAAGATAGTCTGTGTCCTCTTAAGATCGACTGGGGGTTCAGCAATGAGTTGCTTTCACCTCCACAGCACATAGCAACAATAACAGCACCGAACAGCATGTGAACTGCCAAAGGGACAAAGAAGTCTGTCTTGAATGAGGAGAACCCAGGGTGCTTCTCCTCAGAGTCAAGGATGGTGGCACTCACTGTGGGCTTATTTTCATGAGAAACCAGTCCTACGAGAGAAACGGTATGCCGGGAAAGGTCAGAGGAAGAGGAAAAGACCCTCAAGGGGAGGGATTGACACAGTGATGAAAACAGTGGGCTTGACCATGACAGGTCATGAAGAGGGTGCTGGAAAGGGCAGGGTTCAGATGTGCTGTTCTTGGGGTCTCTTGGAGTCAGAGTTGACTCGATGACACCTAACAACACAGCAGTGGTGGTGGTTATGTGCTGTTGAGTCAGAAATGACTCACAGCTCTCCCTCCAGTGTGTTTTCAGAGGCAGTAAACGGCACAGGAAGAGACTGCCCACCCTTCTCCCGTGGAGCAGCTGGTGAATTTGAACCACTTACCTTTGGGATTGCAATGCAGGTTCTGGCCACTAGGCTAACTAGAGCTCCCTACCTATCTATTGTAGCTGCTGAAAAAGATATGTAATACCATGAGAATGCATTATTAAAAGTTCTGTTTGGGGAGATAAGGAGAATTTGCTCAGTAAGGAAGTTATGATTCACCCAGAAAGAGTCCCGGAAGTGAGTGGGGAAAGAGGAAGTGAAGAACAGGTTACAGCAAGGCAAGTAGACATCAGGGAAGGGCTGGTGTGGAAGGGACACAGAGTCTAAGGAATTTAAAAGTTTTAGCCTGTCAGGGGGAAGAAAGGGTTGAGATTGAGACACAGAAGTGTACTCAAGAATTTTGTTTCCAGTGTCCTCTTAAGAACAGTGGGAAGTCACTAAGAGAACTTCCTCACGTGGTTGGTACAATCAAGTCTGCATTTGGGGAAACTGACTGCAGCTCTGGACTGAAGAACTAAGTTAAAGGGCCCAGGATGGCCTCAAAGACGTGGTTAGAAGCCTCCTGCTTAAGTCCTGGCAGGCTGTGCTTGTGGCATTTGAGGAGGGGTACAAAGGAAGTAGATGTGGATTTTGAACTTGACTTTACACCATCGCTACAGGAGTGAGGGCTTTGGCAGGGCCGGAAGGCCCCCACCCCTCCTGATCATTGTCTGTCCTGAAAGCTAAACATGAGAACTGGGAAGTGGCATTTTCCTTAAAGGACTGCTGGGTGGGTCAAAGGTGCTCAGGATATAGTGATCCAACCTGGCTGGACACATTTGAAAGAGGAGAGGTTTGAGTAAGAACGTTAAAAAAAAAAACAAAACAAAAAACCAAGGAAAGGCAGAATTTTGTTGGGCAAGCCCAACCACTGTAGACAAAAGGGGCTGAACAATTGATCCCAACCTGCTCCTTTATGCTTTTTTAGCAGAAGAGACGACATCATTAGAATGCACCCCTATGGGCTTAGCAGACTCACAGATCACTTTCATGTTTACATTTTATGCTGCATTTGAAACATATTGAAGAAACTGTATCTCCTGCTATCATTTTGTGATAATCATTTACAGCTAGTCAGAAAGAGGCTAGTCTAGAGACCTGGCATGCAAAAGGAGAGGTGCTACGAACTCCTCTGCCATTGTGGTTCCGTGCCACGGACATCTGAGCAACTGATTTGAACCTTGCCCTATCTTGCTCGATCCCCTTGTTACAGTCACCTTGCCAATCCAACTTGTTGAGGGTCTTCCTCTCTTCCTTCCACGAGCCTCTACCTTTCCCAGGTGTGATGTCTTTCAAGGACTGGTCTCTTCCAAAAGTATGTGAGATGAAGTTTGACCATTCTTACTTCTGGGGAGCGCTTAGGACGCAACAGTTTTAGGCCTTCTCTCAGAACTAGTGATTCAAAATAATTTTAACCGGGTCCCCATTGTTGTTGTTGTTATGTGCCATCGAGTCGCTTGCGACTCATAGCGACCCTATGTACAACAGCCCTAAACCCTGCTGTATCCCGTACCAATCACACTGCCTCCGACACACTCATCCCAATTACCCCAGTCACTGAATCAATCCACCTCATAGAGGGTCTTCCTCTCCTGAGCTGTCCCTCCACCCTCCCAAGCATGACATCCCTCTCCAAGGACCGGATCAGCCCCACCTTGCAACATGTCCAAAATGTCAGATGAAGCCCAGAATCCTTGCTGCCAAGAAGCAGCTAGGTTTACCCCTATCTAGGATGAATCTGTTTGTTATTCTAGCAGTCCATGGTACCCTCAATACTCTTCTCCAGCACCACAGCTCAAAGGCATCCATTCTCCTGGACTTGACCTCTAGTAAGATACATAGTTTAAGACGTGACATTGAACACATCTTCATACACGGACATGTAATTGGAGGAGGCAGAGTTTAATGAGACGGTATTTATCCTTACTCTTTTATTGGGCCACGGAAACCACCACAACTCACAAAGGAAGACTTGAAAGGTACACTCATGGGCCACGGAGATGCACTGTGAAAGACACAACTCTAAAGCTTTGGAGGAAACAATCCAGAGTTCAGCACAGGACACTGGGGAGGGGGCCTCGCGGGGAGATGATGGCCGACATGAGGACTGTGTTCAAGCACGTTGAGAGGCTACCCTTAGTCACCCCGCCCCGCCCGAGTTTGGAGAAGCAAGGGGCAGTTGGAGGCTCACCCCGTCCTGGGAGGGGCTGGTCTGGGGGGATGATTGGCAGCCCGGCGAGAAGGAGGGCTGGAAGGGAAGAGGGAGCGGAGAGTCCTCCCAGCTGTTGGTAGAGTTTCCTGTTCCCCGCGGCACCCGCCCGGCCAGGCCGAGTGAGTCACCGGCGCGCACAGCCGAGCACCCCGCGCACATGCCCGGCGCCGGCCGCCCGCGCAGCTCCCTCCGGCCGCCGGGGGCCCCTCGGCGCCACGCCGGCCTGCAGGCCCCCTGGTAGCGCGCAGCGTCACATCTGGCCGCACATCTGCCGCGCCGAGGAGCGCGCAGCGCGGAGGCGCGGGCGGCGGAGGAAGCGCGCGCTGCTCGGTCTATGCGGAGCGGCGGGCGCGGCCATGGCTCGGGCGCTGCTCCGGGGCCTGTGGCCGCTGCACATCGTCCTGTGGACGCGCATCGCCAGCACCGTCCAGCAGCCGGTCCCCAAGTCCGGTGAGTGTCCCCCGCAGGCCGGGCGCCCTGCCCCGGTGACAGGCGGCTCCGGGGAGCCGTGTACAGGCGGAAGTGGCAAAGTTGGAGCCGCAGCAGCTCCCGAGTGGCCGGACCCCAGGAAGAGAGAGTTTATCCTTCAAAAGAGAAGGAAAGTTAAGTGGCAGCGGCCCTTTGTGCGAGCAGGGAAGGCGCTGGGTCGGCCAGGGGCGAGGCGAACCCCCAGCCCCGGAAAGGGAAGTTTGAGGAGTTGGAGATCCGAGGGAGGCAGGGGTGGAGGCCCGGGTGGGGTGCGGCTCGCCCAGGCCCCGGCGTGTGGGTCACCTGGGGCTCCCGCGGGGTGCGCACCTGGCGGCTTGGTGAGAACACCGAGACACCCCCGTGATCAGCCAGTCACTGCCCGCCAAGGACTGGAAAGTGGGTGCACATTCCCACTAACCGGCTTCTGAGGTTGGAGAAGGTGGAGAAAAGCGTCTACAAAAGAAATGACTTCCAGAGGAAAGTTTGGATCTGGCGTCCACTTGGCATGGCTGGGGAGGGAGTGGGGCTGGCCAGCTGCGAGGCCTGGAGTTACTTCCCGAGCGCTCTGGGGTGCCAGATGCTGGGGGTGCTGCCTTCGGGGAGGGGAGGCCTTGCTGCTAACACTGGGTGGAAAGAGAAGCATTAAAATGGTAAGTTCAAAAAGGGGAGACTGCACCCTTGTTCAACCAGGACAGCGCAAGATGTATAAAAGGAAAAGGAGAATGCAGGAGTTGAGGACAGATTTCTTCCTTCCAAAATTTGCAGCTATATCCGCATAACAGTATCTCCAATAGTGGTAACTTTTGGTAACTGAGTTTGGGGCAAGCCATGAATCTTACTGGGCTTTGGGTTTCCTCATCTATAAAAAGTCATGGCTGGATGTAGATAGCTGACAGCCTGGCAGGATAAGGTGTTGCATTGCCAACCTAAAGTCAGGCAGTTCGAATCCACAGCAGCTCTTGGGAGAATGATGGGCATTCTCCTCCCCTTGAAAACCACTGCACTGGAGGAATAGTGCTGTGACTGTTGGAACTCACTGACACACATGCCTTGTGTGGGTATTTGATGACATGACAGGAGAGGATGTGGACACCTGAGACACTTTATTTCACAGACAGACTGTAGACCTGAGAACTTGGTAAATACTTGGCCTCTCTTGAAGGTAGCATGGAGTAGGAGTTCTTAATGGAATGTGGAAAAGCACAATTGTCAGCAACAGTCCCAACACAGGTTTGAGTATTTAGGGTTTCATAAAAAATGTTGGGGTTCTGTTCTTGGACGTTGCAGAACCAGAGTGGTCAAGCACTCCTTTAAAACATTATCTTAAAGTGAAGGCCATACTTTGGTCATCCTTATTAAGAATGACACCTTTACTTTTCTTTGTACATAAAAAAAAATCATTAAAACTTTGATTTTGGGTGATGCAAGACGGAAGCACTCATACTCTGATTTTGTTAGTTTATCTGGGATGGGCTTTGTTTACAAGGATAAGATTTATGATTTGCAAATTCCAGACTCAATAAAAGTTCATGAGTCAGTTTTGTTTCATCTATACACACATTTTTAAACAATTAGTTTTACAAGCTGAGTTGTATTTTTAAAAAAAACAAAAAACACCTGGGTTTCATATAGCTTTATAAAAGTCAGGCTCTTGGTCTTTTTTTGTTTTTAGGCTGTTGGTCTTTTAATTATCATTTTTATAGAATTAGAGTTTCAAAAGGATTAAGGGTTCATTCTGAGAATGCATTAATTTCCAGTTAAATTTTTGAAGATGGTTGAGGGGGCAATAATAAAGACGACAAACCCAATTCCATTTGCTTTTTAATTTGTCCAGAAAATAGTTTCAGAAATTTCCAAGCATAATTAAAGTGTCAAAACATCTTTCAAAGTACCTCATGTCAGCTAAGGGATTCCTGGTAGCCTAGTGGTAAGAAGCTGCACTGCAGGCCCAAAGGCACAGGGTTCTAATCCACCAGATGCTGTGCTGAAGCATGAGCTTTCTCCTCTGCTACACTTGACTGGCTCTGAAAGCCTGCTGGACGGTCAGCAATGGGTGGATTCCAAATCAACGTCACACAGCAACAACTAGTCAGATAAGACGATGAAATGTCGCTGTACACAGTCTCTAGTTCATCTGAATGAACATCGTCTTATTTTTTTAGAGTGTAAGTGGACAATGCATTTCAGTATAAGGACACATGTCCCTTAGAGGTTTATCTGCATCATTGTTTTGTTTCTAACTCAAAAGTTCACACTTCCTACATGCTTAAAATGAAAAAAAATTTTATTCTTTTGGGTAGAGCTTGCCTGTCTAGAAATGCTTCAAATCAGACTATGATTTTGTTCACTTTTGACTGTACCTAAAAGATTCCTGTTGAAATCCAAATGTGGGTGATCGTGTCATGGGGATAAACATCTTCATGGTTCTCAAAGTCACGTTAGTGACCTGTGTTTGTGAGGCTCAGAGACTGGAAATCGCTGGCCCCAGCATTTGATCTTGGGTCTGTGTTTACCTTTGTTTTCAGGAAGCACATTTTCCCCTCCAGACCACTTCCTTTACTGACATCTTCTTTTTAATCTTGTACGGCTTTTTGCAAAATACGAGTTCCATTTGTAATTTGTCGCTGATTTTTCCTGGTAGCTCCCCATAGTGAGCATTCATTATGGACTGTGTCCAGCGTAACTGTTAACTGCTGTCCATGTAAGGTGACTGTGAATTGCTCCTCATCTGTCTGCCTGACTTTTGAACATTTTCTTTAGGTTGCCTTGGGTTGGGTTGTTGTTTTTTTTCTGGTTGTGTGTTTATTTTGTTTTGTTGTTTTTTGTGGGTTTTTTGGTAACCCATACTTTCCCAGTTAAGAGTAACATTTGGTGGGTGTCCTTGTCAAAGTGGACTTTCCTCCTCCCTCCCACCTCGTGGTTCTTCCTGAGTGCCTCTCAGTAGCTGGTGGGGTGCACACCATTCTCAATGAATGAGACAGACTTTGCCGCCTTTGAGTGGAACACCAAGGACAGTGTTATAAACAAAAGAATATAGAACTTATTGGATGTTCCTTGACTGCGTCTGCATCTGCTCATTTTTTTTGCTGTGTGGAGGGGACCTGAGTGCACACTGAATAGTTCTTTCTCGGTCTTTCTGGTTACAGTTACTTCACTGACAGGTTCTCACTTTTCCATTTCCATTGTTAACGGATCCCTTGTTGGACCATTTTCATTTCCGTTCTGTTCTGTTGTTATTGTGATGTACCAGCCAATCAGAGCTGACTCACAGCTGGCCTTCCATGGGGTTTTCAGAGGCAGTAAATCACACGGGACGAGACTGCCCATTTTTCTCCCATGGAGCAGCTGGTGGATTCGAACCACCTGCCTTTGGGTTGGCAGCACAACTTCTTACCCACGAGGACACCAGAGCTTCATTCTGTAGCAACCCAATATGTCTCTTGAGCCTTCCCTTAGAGATAGGCTGCAAGCGAAAGAGTGTCAGGTACAGACTTTGGAATCAGGCTATCCTGGGCTCTAAGCCTGTGTCGCATTTGGTGACGTCTCCTGTTGCAGTTATTTTATTGTCTTAGTGCCCTAATCAACAAAGTGGCAATCATGGAACCTGCTGTTTGTCATCGTGGGCAAATTAAATGAAGGAAGCTTTGGAGCTCTTAACATAGCACCTACAGCATTGTAAATGCTCCAAAAAGCCAGCTTCTGCTGCTCTTATTGTTAGGAGCTCCTTAAATGTGGTCCATCCAGGTTCGCAGTGACCTGCATCCCATGCTTCAGGTCAGCATCACTCTCCCACCCCCAGGGGCCCACACGTCCTTCTCTTTTAGGTCCCGTCTCCACACACTCCTCCCTTATACACACTGATCGTAAGTGGCTTAGGTGACTCAGGCCACACTTTTGCTTAAATAGCGTTTTCTGCATGGAATGTGGGCCAACTGGCTACATTTCCATCATCTTTTATGACCTAACTGGGATAGTATCGTAAGGAGAGGTATCTGGAATGAATCTGAGCTAGTGTCCTCTCTTGGGGACAGGCGTGTTTCTCAGTTCTTCACAGTGTAAGCTGACGCTGTGTCTCTGACTTCCTTACCCAGCCGACCATCAGGCCCGCTCACCTGATCCATCAAAGGTAAAGGATGTGCCCCACTCCTTCACCTCTAAGGTCTCAGGCCGTAGTTTGTGTGTCACTCAAGACTCAAACTCATGGCTGTTGGGTCAGTTTTCACTCACAAGGACCCTCTGTCAGTTTTGGAGGCTATCAACTTTGCCAGGAGGAAACTGCCCATCACTCTTTCCTTCTCCCTCAGAGGTGCCGATGGGCTTAACCCTGCAGATGCAGAGCCCTTGGGCTAGTGGCGGTGCTTGGTGCTGACTCTGCCACCTGCGCCACCAGGAAATGCAGGGCGGCAGCTCGACTGTACCTCACTGGCTGTGGTGCATCTGAGGGCTGTACCTCCTGGCTGTGATGCTGAGGTCTGCACCTCACTGGCTGTAGTGCTGAGGTCTGTACCTTGCTGGCTGTAGTGCTGAGGGCTGTACTTCTCTGGCTGTAGTGCTGAGGGCTGTACTTGAAACACAGGGCGGCAGCTCGACTGCACCTCACTGGCTGTAGTACATCGGAGGGCTGTACCTCGCTGACTGTAGTGCTGAGGGCTGTACCTCACTGGCTGTGGTGCATTGGAGGGCTGTACCTTGCTGGCTGTAGTGCTGAGGGCTGTACCTCGCTGGCTGTGGTCCATCTGAGGACTAGCCACTGTGAGGAAGTGCACATTGTTTCTTGGCTGTTTGGTTTTCAGGGTAAACTCTTTCTGGGAGAGCAGTTTACTTAGGCTCTCTTCTGAACAGGCAATCAGACTGATCTTATCTTACAGAATTTTTTTTTTCTTTTTGGGAAAATGCAGAAAAATATCTTTACTTTTCCGCAAATGAGGTGGAGAATGCCGAGAAGTTTTGGTCTAACCTTTAAGTGTCAGATTACCCCATTG